CTTCTGGGGAGTGTTTTCCACTGCACTGTTGCGCCTAAGGGTCGGTCTGGGGAGAGTTTGTGTGCTTACAGGTCAAGGAGGGCAGCCTGAGCAGAGGGAGAGACTGAAGATACATGAATACACACTCCCAATTGATGGGCACCGTGGGGTGGAGGGTGGGAGCCCAGGTGGGAACAGCCTAGGGAAGGAGGAGGGGGCTCCACTTTTAGGGCAGGAGAAAAGGAGGGGGAGGTTACAGATACAGCATGTTGAGGAAGAGAGGAAGGACATTAGGCACAGAGCCAGGACACTGAAAACACTCAGATGAAAAGTTTGAAGACATTTATGAAGCAGCATGCCCACAGCACAGTAGTAAGTGGGGCGGGGATGGAGGATGGAAGAGGAGAACAAGGGGCCTATGGTCCATAGCTCTGGGCTGCAAGATGCAAGGCAGAGCCACCTGGGTTATGAATGAACCAATGAACAAAGGGCCCCTCTACGAAGGCCCTGCAAGTAGAAATCTTGAAGGTGGGAGGGAGTGTGTCCTATGCAACCCCCATACCTTACACTTTACCCCTACCCTCATCTCCACTTGGTCTCCTCTGATGTTCTAGGCTGTGATTGCTCATATTCTAGCCCTGGCCCCAGGAGAAGAATCGATCAGCCCATCCCCAAAGTTGAGGTGGTTCAGGATGGAGGTTGGCCCTCACTGGACATGAAGCAAGGTGGTGGAGGTGGGGGCTGGGAAGATGGACCCTGGATGGGTCTTCCCTCTGGAGGTAGGAGAATGAAGACAAGTGGGAGACGCTCTGCCATAGCCTGGCTGGAGAATAGAGAGATGGCTTCTTGTACAGAAAGAGAACCCATGGAGGTGGCCTTTCTATCCGAATCCGTGCCTTTGATCTGGGAATCTGGGAGGGTCCCTCCCATGAGCCCAATGTTTCTTCTTGGCCACTTATTGGCAGTCCTGCATTCTGCTCTTCCTGTCTAGCCTCCCTGACTGGAATCCCAGGAATCTGCCCTCCTTGCTTTCAGGAGGTCATCTCGTCCTGGTGGTTGCAGTCCTTTAGGGAAGGAGCCCACGCTGTTCTTGTTCTGAGGCCAAAGTGTGTTCAGGGCCAAAGGAGGGCCATGACACCTCACGGGTCCCTGCCTCTCCCTTTGTGCCAGTGTGGGCTCCAGCCTGTGTGCAGTGAATCAGGTGCAGGCGCTGTGTTGGGGGCGTATAGCCATGTGGCGCAGACACAGCGAGGCCTCGCATTGCTGCTAGTGGATGTGGACGAGGTGCTTTGAGGAAATCCCATGCTCGCTGGCCACAGTGTTCAGGGTCTCTAGCTGTGGCTGCCTCCCACTGAAGGTGACCAACTGTTCCGGGTCACCTGAAACTGAGGGGTCTCCTGGGATATGGGATCTTCCGTGTGGAAGTCTGGAAAAGTGTCAGGGCACCTGGGACGAGATGTCACCCTAACTTCTTTCCCCTCTCCTACTTCTGGAAAAGTGCAGAGTTCATGGATTTTCCTCCAGGACGACTCCCCTAACACACGTGTAAAAGGATAAACTCTGCAATGTCATGCCACCATGCTTCACGGAGGTGGCTTTGGGATCTGCAGGCCCAGGTTGAAATCTCCTTTCTATTGCTTTTCTAAGTGTGCAAGTTTAGGTGAATTACTTTATGTTTCTGAGACTCTGTTTTCTTATCTCTAAAATGGAGGTAATATTATCAATCTCACAGGATTAAATGTGAGGATTAAATGAGGCAATGTTCATCAACATCAACATCAGTTGCCTCGCACGGTACAAGGCACTTGTAAGAGAAATCAGTAAACGTTAGTTCTCTCTGATTCCTCCCTCACTATCTTTCTGGCATTGGAGTGATACCCATTCTACAGGAGGGGAAGGTAAGGCTTATGAGCAGGAATAGTTGACTCTGGCTCAAAATGACAGATGCAGAAATCAGCAACAGATCCCTAGTTCCTGACTGCCATCTTCCTACTTTGGAGTAGACAAAGGTTTCTCTACCTGGAATGTTTCTTGGATGAGGGGGAAGGAACTGTTTTATTCACTTACTTACTTACCTGTCCATCCATCCATCCATCCATCCATCCATCCATCCATCCATCTATGCATTCAACAAATATTCATTGAGTACCTACTTTATGTCAGGTACTGTTCTAGGTGCTGGAGATTCGACTGCCAACAAAACAGCAAAACATTTGCTGTCCTCGCACAGCTTACATCCTGGTAGAGGACACACATAATAAACATCTATCTAATATAATGTAAAGTAGTAATAATTGCTCTGAAGGGAAAATAAAGCAGGTGAAGGTGGTAGAGTAGCCAGGATATGGGCATCATTCTGCAGGGTGGCTAGGCGAGGGGAGGGCCCTCTGAGGAGGCGACATCTGAGCTGAGGCCTGAAAAAAATGTAGCCTGGGTCTCGTGGGCCTGACTTCCCCTCCTCCTGGAGCTCCCAGCTCAGGCCCAGCTGCCACAGGGTGGAGTCAGCTGTGGAGGAGAGACAGTCCGTCTCTGGGCTGGGGCTGCAGTGGTAGATGGGGGTGCAGCTGTTTCTTCAGCTGTCTGTCCACAGTGCTGACCCCTTCGTTGGTCTGAGCTTTTGGGATAGGGGAGGGACCCACACTGGAAAATCAGTTACTGAGGGTCAGATTGTGGTTGAAAATGATATGAAAGGGCTGCCTTGCTCCACTTGGGGACACTACATTGGGGGACAAGTCCCAGTGTATTTGGTTTCCTGCATGGCTCTATTTCTTTGGCATTGCCTTTTCCTTTAAGAAAAAAATAAATAACACCTCTGTTTGGACTGCATGCTAAATGATTTATGAACATTATTCTTCTCCGTTAGTTCTACCTGTAGGAGCTCCAGCCCTCGCAATCCTTTTCATGTTGATTAAGTACATTTGAAAGCAAAAGGAGACTGTCTGCAATTGCTTCACAGTATAGACTAGTGGCTTCCCTGGACTCAGGAGGAATTCCTCATCTTCCCTTTGCAAGAGTTCCTTTGCAGCTGGTTAAGCAGGAGATCAGTCCAGAAACACGTTGTCCGTCTTGTGTGTGCCCGAGGAGGCAGAGGGGTAGTGTTCTTTCTGGAGCTGGTAATTATGAATTTGAGATTCTGGAATCCTCTGGATAGAATCCAGGAGTCAGCCTTCTAGGGCAGGTGTGATTGCACCTGACTTGGCCCTGGCAGGTTGATGCTGGTCAGGAGGAGAGGAGCGTGCTTGTAAAGGGCCTGTCAGAGTTTAGCATCATCAGGGCACCCCACTGAATAGGGTGGTGAGAGAGGGGAGAGAGAAGGAAGGTCACAGCCCAACTCTCTATATTCCTGGGCTAATGGAAGGTGCGCATGGAGAGGAAGAATGATCCACAGAGCCAGCTCTCAAGCGGAAGGGCCCCTTGGTTGGTTCTATAGTTAGGACGGGACCAATGCCCTTCCCTGGTTCCTCCCCCATCCTTTGTTCATTACTGTGTATGGACAACTTGGGCACACACTTTTGTGGGCAGGTGGGTCATTAAGGGTCTGGCGTCAGCACTCACTTTGACTTGGAACATAGACGTCTACAGATGCTGTTTCTACTACATATTCCGTCTGGTCTCAGCCTGGCCTGGCCCAGGGCTGCCTTCTGCAGGTCTTCGTTTCAAAACGTGGAATAGGACAGCTTTCCCTGAACTCCTGAGCTGCCCCAGAAATCCTGTAAGATTGTCCTCTTTTCTCTGCCACCCTGCCTTCTAGTTTCTGGGCTTTCAAATCCAGGCTCTGATGGTTTATTCAGAATTCCCCATCTTCAAAAAGTTATCGGGCTTCGTGGCCTCCCTTTGTATATAAGCCCTGAGTTTTGTCACACCTGTCACCCCTTTCTGCCCTCTTCAAGGTGACATTTCTTTGGACATGCCTGGGCTAGACGTGACAAGGCTTGGCCTCATCTTACCTTTCTTGCTCACGGGCTGGGTGACTTTGGAAAAGTCACTTCATATCCCTGACTTGAGATTCCTTCATTTATTAAATGGGAATAAGACCACGTGAGAAACAAATGAGATGGTAGTTTTGAAAAATGCTTAGTCAGTTGTCTTTATTGTCTCCTCATGACAAAAGTTCACACAGACCCTTAAAAACATGAACATTAAAAGTCCTACCATCTAGCTGCATACAGACTAGGGCAAGGGTGAGATGGTGTATATAGAGGAAAACCCAAACCATTTGTGTGGGAACCCAAAGAGAAATGCCGATGGTGCCAACTCAACCTCAGGCCCCACAAAGGGGGAGCCAAGCTCCTCCTGGGTACCAGACACCAGCTTTTTGGGTCTGTTGTCTGTTCCTCATACCGTCCTTGACATGGTGTCATCCCCATTTGAACAGAGGATGGAAATGAGACCCAAAGAGATTATGTTGCCCAAGATCACAAAGTTAGCAAGTTGTAGGGCTAAGAATCAAACCCGAGTTCTGTCCTGACCCTAATGTCCCGCGAGCTTCGCCTCGCCGCCACTTCCAAATCCCTGCCTGACTCTTGAACCTGTAATTCTACCATTAGCAATTTATCCCTCAGAGCTAAGCATCCACTCTTTGGATTCTCTTTTGCTCTCCCTCCTGCTCGCTCTCTCTCTCTAATGCACACACCGGGGAGAGTAGCCCATGAAGCACAGATTAATGTCGTGAGCTCCTTTCTTCCTGGCTAAGAGAGACAGCCAGAGTAAAATCTCTAAATTGTGGACCTGGGAGGGCAGCTGATCCTGAGAAGGGCAAAAAGGAAAGGCTTGTCCATCTAAGACAAATGTTATCCCCTACCGAGCTGTTCCTGGGCTGGCCCTACGTCTGTGTGAGCTGAGCCAAGCCCTGGGACGGCCTGGGAGATCCGCATCCTGCTGTCTGAGCCCCAGTTAACAGCCTCACCATCGTGGAACGCAACCTCCGCCTGAGGGACTCAGGGATGTGGTTAGGCGTCCTCATCCCCTTGCCAATACTCAGAGACACGTGCATGCAGGGCCCCATGTCCCTCACCCTTTGATGTGGAGGGCTCATCCCGGTGAAGCCTCTGTCCACTCCAAGAGCCCCTCTCTCTCCGGAGTGGCTCAAAGGGCCTTTTGAGTGAGGGAACGGGCAGCCTGCCGGCCTGGGAGGGAAGATAAAGGCGTGAGATCCCCGGAGGGCTCAAAGGGTCAGGGGCTGTGTATCTGGTGACTTCTGAATGCAAGTTCCAACAAAGAGAAATCTGTGGTGGGAGAGCCTCAGCGAAGGAAATAAAATCTCCATGAAAACAAACTTTTGTTGGAAGCTTTCTCCTCTTGTTTTGGCAGCGTTGCTAAGTCCTGGAAGGGGAAGGCCGTGTCTTCCGGAGCAGTTGGGAGGCTCTCAGATTGTCCAAATATCAGCTTGCTACTAGGGAACTGTTTTTCTCCCACCAGGAGGACAGGGCTTGGGAGTGAGCGCAGGAGTAATTCGTTTTCTAATCAAGGCTAGAATGAGTAAAAGAAAAGCTAGGGGGCAGCGCAGAGAGCTGTGGACTATGGGTTAGGCCCTCGGTGGACACAGCATTGTGTGTGATACGGTTTGGTGACTCGGGCAGACCCTGGGCCTGCCTTGTCTCAGCTGTAAAATGGACACAACTTGCCCAAGGTCTTTCAGCTAGAAAAGCAGGATGTAAACTTCTGTTTTCCAGTGCCTTATAATTCACGAAAACCAGAGGATGGAGATGAAAGGATCTTTGAAGGCATCAGAGGACCACGGGAAGGTCAGATAATTATTATAATATACAGTGTGTGTGTGTGTGTGTGTTTCTTCCTCTTTATCCCCAGGCCTAGGCAGTCACATACCATGCTCAGTTGTTTGGTTTCTGCATCTTGTTTTGCAAAGAACCAAGGGAATGGTTAAAGAAGGGGCTTTCCAGTCAGTCTGTGCTGCTAACTTGAATCAGTTAGCTATGTTCGGGGATGCTGGGGGCTCATAAGTTTTAGGGAATGCAGAGAATGAGGGCTTCCCCAGCTGCTGAGATGTTTTTATGTTAAGTAAGTATAAGGATACGGTTTTCTCTCTTTCTCTTTTTCTTTTTCCTGGAGTCCAGGGAAAAGGTAAGGATTTGTATTGGTCCAGGCCCCATAAGATTCTTTTTTTGACTCCATAAGACTTCTTTTGTCCTGCTTCGGGAGAAAATCCTTTACGGTGGCTGTCATCCGGCAGAGCTCAGAGGACTTTGGAGTGGCAGGTAGCCAGCGGGATTAGGAAGGGACTGGGAGCTGAGCCGTGGTTTCGATTCTGCCTGTTCCTGACAGGCTGCTGTGACCCCACGGTGGGCCCTGTTCCTCTTAACCATAGACAGCACCAGAGGGAACGAGACGGAGGAGGGAGAGAAACTCAGAGCAGTGCTGGCGGAGGGTGAATCCGAATGGGTGCCCAGAGCAGTCCTGGCGGGGGGGTGAATCCAGATGGGTGCTGAGGGGGCCTGAGAGGGTTGGCTGGGAGCCAAGGCGGCTTTCTCTCCTGCAGGCCCCCTCCCCACTCCTTCCCCAGCCAGAGGCTCAGGCTGATGCCATTGACTGCTGGTCTGGGAAGGTGTGTGTGTCTCCCCTGTGCTCTGAGCATCTCCGAAAACTGAGAAGCACGTAAGCTGAAGTGCCTGCCCAGAGTTCTCTCTTTGACTAGAGGGGCCGGGATGTGTCTGGGTTTGGGAAGGTCTGTCCAGGGAAGCCTGACTGAATTGGCGAAGGCACCTCCTCCCTCCCTTCTCCCCTCTGCTGTCCCTTGCGCAGCCTTGCCAGGTCAGTCATGGGCTAATAACAGCACCAGGAACGCTGATGTCACATGGCTGGTTGGAACTGCCTGCGACAGTTAATAGGTGAAGTCTCCCGCTGCTGACTGCATGCAGAGTCCACATGGGGCATGTGTAGGCGAGCGTGTATGGAAGTAGGTGGGAGGCCTGCGTGTGCCCGCTGTCCTCCGCCCCTCCTCAGCACACACTCACGGGTACCCACGTATGTGCACGCATGCACGCACGCAGAGGCATACACATGTCACACACGCGCACCCAGTCACAGACACCTGCACACACACAGCCATATGCACACGGAACACAGTCACACATGCACAGCATCTATGCAAGCTCACGCTGTCAAACCACACACACACACACAGAGGCATGCTGGGGATATGAGAGAAATCTTTTCTAGGAGCTTCTTTCTTCCCTCTCCCATTTCCCCCCTTCCCCTCACCCCTGGACCTCCCTCTTTCCTCCCCCTTCCCTGGTCACCTCCTCCAGTTTTATCAGCAGGCACACAAGCCCTGGATGTGTCGGGCCAGCTTCATTCCATGTGGTCTGGGTGTAACATGAGGCAGTACAAAGAACTCAGGGGTGAGAGCCAGACAGCGCTGAGCTGAGACCCTGACTTACCCCCTTAACTGGGTTCATGACATGGCCCCACTGGGCGAGTTGTTTAACCTCTGTAAGCCTCACTTTGCTCCTCTCCAGAAGAGGACTGAAAACACGCTCGTGCAGGGCCGCTGGGGTGCACGCACATGGTGACAGGGGACGCAGGTGCCTGGTGACAGGTATGCCCGGGTAGCGTAGGCTGGCACGCAGGAAGCGCCCAGGGGATGCCAACTCCCTCCTTTCCCTGTTGTTCCCATCAGGAGATTTCTGCTGCCTGGCCACCATATTGGTGCCTGAGCCAGAAAGGCGGCCTGCCCTGTGGAAGTGTTTGGCGTGTGCTCTGCGTGGACTTTGCCTCATTTATCTGGGGCTGATTCAGCTCTGAGGGAGGAAATAACATGACTGTCATTTACTGACAATTACCCTCTTCCCAACAGCCTGCTCATCCCTTTTACCCAAGTAAGAAGGCTGAGGCACAGAGGGCTTAAGTCATTTCTCTGAGTTCCCACAGCTGGTTAAGAGGCTGGGAACCCAGCTCCCAACCCTGGCTTTCTGTTGCAGTAGGCAACTTGCAACAGCACTGGGGACACTGGTCTGCTTAGGCGAATGGCACTGTTGGATCTGACGATTGAATAGGTCATCTGCTTCCCTTCTTAGAGCAGGCTCATCTGGATGGGACATTTCTTCTAACTTCTCTATAAAGATGGGTGTGGGTAGAAAGGCATTGGTTCTGAGGACTTGGGCTGAGAGACATCTGAGGGGAGATCTGTGGGAACACATGAGATGAGTGGGGGGAGCTCCATTCAGGTTTGCAAATGCTGGTTGCACACCCACCTCACACTGGGTCCCAAGCTAGGTATTGGGGCTGCAGAAATGAGCAAGATATTGCTCTTGCCTTCAAGAAACTCTAAAGAAGTGAGCAGGGTGGGGGCTCAGGCATGTAAAAAAGATGTATAGACAATGAGGTGAATGCAACCATAGAGGAAAGTACCAGATGCATGGCAGTGATGGGGTGGGGATGGGGACTTGGTCTGGAATTTGCTTGGAGGAGGTGATGGTGGGACAGACCATCCCGAGAACTAGACAGGAGAAGGAGGAAAAGGGCCCTCAGGGAGCCGGGGACAGGGTGCACCACAACATGGAAGTGTGAGACAGCAAGAGCAAGGAGGGAGGGGTGGGCAGGGACAGACTGAGTGCTAAGGCTCTTGGATTATATTTTGCAGGTGATGGGGAGCTATGAAATGTATTGAAATGGGGGAGTGGTGTTGTCAGATTTATATTCTAGAACTTGGCCTCAGCACCAGTGGGAATGGGTTGGAAGGGACCAGACTTTCACAAGCGCATTCAAGATATGTTTCAGTTAGAATGACTTTGGCTGCCAGTAGCAGCTAATCCAACCCAAAGTGGCTTAAACAGTAAGAAATTCTTTTTCTTACATATTATGAAGCCCAGAACCAGGAGTGCTCTAGAGTTGGAAAAATTCAGTGGCTCAGTGACATCAACAAGCACTCAGATTCTTTCTCTGCCATCCTCCAGTTATCAGCTCTGTTTTCAGACTAACTTTCCTCTGGGTCATACATCACACCAACGTGCAGGCAATTAAAAATAGTAAACTAAGTCATTTGTAAAACTGTGGGGACTGATGGAGGCTGTGGCCAATGGGATTGTGAATGCTCCAGGCCTGTTGGAATTTAAATTAGAAAATTTTAAAAAGCACAGGCAAAATATTTTAAAGTCAAGAGGCAAATGACAAACTGGGGGGAAAAAATTGCAAAGCACATCACAGGACTATTCTCCCTAATATACAAAGAGTTCCTAAAAATCAACAACAAAATACAACCCAATAGAAAAAAATGGGCAAAGAATTTGAACAGACTATTCACAGAAAAGAAAATACAAATGGCTCTTAACATATGAAAGGATGTTCAATCTTACATGTGAAATTAAAACTATCCTGAGGTAACATTTTTCATTCATCTTTTAAATGGGCAACCATCCAAAAAGTTTGTTATCACACTGTATTGACAAAGTTCTAGGGAAACAGCTGTCTTATAGTGTAAATCAAAACAACCCGTTTAGAGGGCAATTTGGCAATATCTATCAAAATTATCAATCATATGCCTTTTGCCCCAGCAATTTCATATTGGGGAATTGATCCTAAAGATATACTTGTACATATGTGAAATAATATCCACAAAAGTTTATTCTTGCAACATTATTTGTAATAGCAAAAGATTGGGAAGAACCCAAATGTCCATCAGTTGGGGTTAGTTAAATTAGTTAAATTATGGAATATTCTGACAGTGGAATACTACACATTTAAAAAGAGGAAGGAGAGGGGTGCCTGGCTGGCTCAGTTGGTAGAGCATGTGACTTTTGATCTTGGGGTCGGGAGTTCAAGCCCCACGTTGGAAGTAGAGCTTACTTAAAAAAAAATGAAATAGTTAGAATTCCTCATATCAGTGAGATCATATGATACACGTCTTCCTCTGAAAAAAAATGAAATAAAATAAATAAAAATAAAAAGAGGAATGAAGGCTCTGTCTTTGTACTGATATGGAAAGATCTCCAAAATTATATTAAGCGTAAAAAGAAAAAAATCCACCAAGGTGCATGAAAGGGGGATAACAAGAATCTGTATTTATGTTTGCTTGGATAAGTGGGGGACAGGAATGGGAGGGAGACATTTCATATAATTTTTTAAATTTTTGAACCATGTTACATATTACCTTTTTAGAAAAGATTTTGTTTATTTATTTTAAAGAGAGAAAACACTTCACACAGGAGTGGGGGGAGGGGCAGAGGGAGAGGGAGAGAATCTCAAGCAGACTCGGCCCTGAGCATGGAGCCAGATGCGGGGCTCGATCCCACAACCCCGAGATCATGACCTGAGCTGAAATTAAGAGACAGGCACATAACTGACTGAGCCGCCCATGCGCCCCACATATTACCCTTTTAAAAACAAAACAAAGGAAAACCAGGAGCACTGTGCAAATCCCACAAAACATCTGGGAAGAGCTGCTGATTTGCAGCCCTAGGCTCTGAATTATGCAGTGATAGTGGAGATGGATAGATTTGAGAAATGTTTTGTTTTTTGTTTTTGTTTGTTGAGAGAGAGAGAGAGAGAGAGAGCACACACATACATGTGAGCAGAGGGAGAGGCAAATGGAGAGGGAGGGAGAGAATCCCAAGCAGGCTCCACACTCAGCTCAGAGCCTGACCGCAGGGCTTGATCCCATGACCCTGCCCTATTTCTCCATCCATCCACAGGCGATATTTCTGGCCACAGACTTCTAGTTTGCTGGTGTTCCCTCCTACCAGACACAGGGTATGAATCCAAGATAGGGTTGGGTCTGTAGGCAGCTCTG